TCGGAGGACCAGGTTTGATTTTCCACTCCTCCACATGCAGCTGCTGGTGTGACTTTGGGTCAGTCACAGTTGTCTCAGAGCAGTTTCTGTCAGAGCTCTCTCAGTCTCACCTACCTCACAGGGTGACTGTTGTGGGGAGGGGAAGGGAAAGGAGTTTGTAAGCCGCTCTGAGACTCCCTTGGGTAGTGAAGGGTGGGGTATAAATCCAATCTTCTTCTTCTTCTTCCACCTCCTCAATGCTTGGCCACTCTGCAGGAGGAGACTCCTTCCCTTGAGCAGAAGTCAAAACGTTTATCCCGTCATTTATCTTGTTAAATCTTAATAATGCAATTTGATTTCCTTCTTGAAAGCTGCTTAGTGAGATTACTCCACTGAGAGCACAGCGTGTCGGCATTTAATAGTGTTTCCTTTGCTTGTAGGCACGGTCGCGCCTGGTTTTACGATTTGCAGTATATTTCCTTTCCTCCTGTGTTTCCCAAGCCCGTTTCTCCTGGCTAAGAGATGTTTGAGATACGTTGCAGCCCATTCTGGATACCATGCAGATTGTCCGAATTGCAGATAGAACTGACAGGTTGTCCAGGTGACTGAGCTGCAAAACCTTGAAAGCTTTTTCAAAGGACGTGTGTCTTATTCATAGAATCACAGAGTTGGAAGGAGCCATACAGACCATCTAGTCCAACCCCCTGCCCAATGCAGGACCAGCCTAAAGCATCTCTGACAGATATTCGTCCAGCCTCTTCTTGAAAGCTGTCAGTGAAGGGGAGCTCACCACCTCCCTAGGCAGCTGATTCCACCTTTGACTTAGCCTTTCCTCGTAGGGCTCAGTCTCCAGACCCCTGATCACCTCCAGACCCTCTTCTGCACCCTCTCGATTTTGTCCACATCCTTTTTGACGTGAGGCCTCCAGGACTACACACAGTACTCCAGGTGCGGCCTGACCAAGGCAGTATACAGAGGGGCTATGACCTCCTGCGATTTCAATGCTATGGCCCTTTTAATAAACCATTGCTGAGCAGCCCAAAGATCCAACATTTCTACAGCTGTGGCCCAACCTTTCCTGAATCTAGATTCGAAGGACAGTTCGGATCCACCACACAGAAGTTTTAGAGTGCAAAAGAATAGGAATCCCCTTCTGGATTTCCCCACCTCTACGTAGTTTGTGTTTCTGGACGAGTCAGCATGTTCTGAATATGACTAAGCGGCGGGCATGGAACCCTGACTCGTGCAGAGAAGCAACAGCTGACTCTCTGTCAGGCTGGATAACTTTCCTGACTCAAGGAGACACACAGAACTGGCAGTAAGACAAACAACTTGCCCTCACAAGCCTTTTCTGTCTGCCCGAGGCCCAACCTTTCCCGAATCTAGATTCGAAGGACACTTCGGATCCACCACACACAAGAAGTTTTAGAGTGCAAAAGAGTAGGAATCCCCTTCTGGATTTCCCCACCTCTACGTAGTTTGTGTTTCTGGATGAGTCAGCATGTTCTGCATATGACTAAGCAGAGGGCATGGAACCCTGACTCGTGCAGAGAAGCAACAGCTGACTCTCTGTCAGGCTGGATAACTTTCCTGACTCAAGGAGACACACAGAACTGGCAGTAAGACAAACAACTTGCCCTCACAAGCCTTTTCTGTCTGCCCCCCCCAAAAAAAAGAGCGCACAAGGGTAGGGAGCAGAGGTCCATCAGTGGCTCTTAGCCACAAGGTATAGATAGGGGCTCTGGGGCAAGTGATGCTCTGTCATATTGGTGCTTGGGGGGGGCAGCAGTGGGAGGGCTTCTAATGTCCTGGCCCCACTGGTGGACCTCCTGATGGCACTGGTATTTCTGGCCACTGTGTGATACAGTGTTGGACTGGATGGGTCATTGGCGTGATTCAGCATTGGCATCTCTTATGTTCTTAGGGAATAGGGTTGCCAATCTCCAGGTGGTGGCTGGAGATCTCCCACTATTCCAACTGATCTTCAGGTGACAGAGGGTGACCTGGGGAGAGCCACGGCCAGTCTGAGTAGACAAGACTGCCCTTGATGTACCAAGGATTCTGTATAAGGCGGATTCATGGGTTCCACCCCCTTGGGGGCTTACGGAAGACGACTGTGGTGGAACCATTCCTTCCTCAAATATCTGATGTGTGACACGACCACGGAGGCAACACTTAAAGAGAACGCAAATATATATATTTACAGTCCAAGGCTAAAAAGCGCCCAGCTATGCAGGAGATGGCAGAAAAAGTGGTTTGTAACATTACACTGTGGAGCACAATGGAAAACTAGAGCCTGCCCGGGGAGCTAACCCCACCCTTCCGACTCCCCAAAGCTGCAGCTGTTACATTTCTGCTTGTCCAGTCACAGTGAGGCGCCCCCTGCAGGATCGGATGACTGGATGCCATTGAAGAAGGAGGGTGCTTGGAACTTTTAGTTGTTCTGGCGGAGGGGTAATTTCCAGCCAATGCAGCTTCTCCACTCTTTGCAAGACAAACTGCACTCTCCCAAGGACTCTCTGCTAGGAGGGGTGGGAGCTGAACTACTTTGGTCCCTATCCCACAAGGATTTAGAGGTCGTAACCATCCCCTTAGGGGAGGGGCTGTGGCTCAGTCGAAGAGCCTCTGCTTGGCATGAGGAAGGCCCCATGTTCAATCACAGGCATCTCCAGTTAAAAAGGAGGTGGAAGACCTCCACCCGAGACCCTGAAGAGCCGCTGCCAGGCTGAGTGGATAGTGCTGACCTTGATAGACCAAGGGCCCGATTCCGTACAAGGCAGCTTCATGTGTATACATGTGTGAGGCTCTTTGCTCACTGTAGAGTCCGACAAGGTACACAAAAATAAATATGGTCATGGTCCATAGACATGCACAAATAAACCCACAAGAACTGTGCACAGTGCGCTCAATATTTCTTTAACAAAAATCGTAAAGTTATGAATATGAAAAGTACAAAAGTAATAATAATACATTAAAGTTTATAAATTCAGGTACATAAAGGTAGGAGGTGACAACGACGGGACGGTAGTGCCGTTTCGACAGACGTCTTCTTCTAACCAATAGTCTAGAAGTTGATAATGTATGACAAATTGCACTTCAATGGAAAAGCTGCCCAATTCACATGGAGTTTGGTAACAGTTTCACCTATTACATTGCACAAGTAATGGAGGAGAACATCTCTCAGACAGATTAAAGCTTAGGTGTTGAGAGAAATGGCACTACCGTCCCGTCGTCGTCACCTCCTACCTTTATGTACCTGAATTTATAAACTTTAATGTATTATTATTACTTTTGTACTTTTCATATTCATAACTTTACGATTTTTGTTAAAGAAATATTGAGCGCACTGTGCACAGTTCTTGTGAGTCCAATAAGGTGCCAGAAATAGCAACCAAAGTGACTGAGGGGGTGGAGCTAGAGCTGCCAGCTGCCTAGAGGAGAAGAAGAAATTGGATTTATACCCACCCTTCACTACCTGAGGAGACTCAGAGGGGCTTATGATCTCCTTTCCCTTCCCCTCCCTACAACAGGCACCCTGTGGGGTAGGTGGGGCTGAGAGCTCTCTCCCAAAAACTGCTCTTGAGAGAACAGCTCTGGAAGAACTTGTGACTGACCCAAGGTCACACCAGGAGCTGCATGTGGAGGAGTGGGGAATCAAACCCGGTTCTCCCAGATTAGAGTCTGTGCTCTTAACCACTACACCAAAACTGGCTCTGGGGGAAAAACCACCCCTCTCATCCCTTTTATCAGAGCTTAATGGGCTGCTATGCACCAGGTCACTGATGTTCTTTACCTTCACCCCACGAAAAGCTTGGGCTACCCCTTTCCACATATTCAGCCTGGATTCAAGGGTCAGCACAGCTTTCTCCAGGCCTATTGGCAATCCCTATTTGGAGCACTTTCCCTGCAGGGAAAAGATGAAAGGTTTGGGGCCTTTTCTTTTCCCAAGAAAGAAACCATGACAACTCTGTGTGTGTGTGTGTGTTTTGTTGTTGGAGACAGAGAAAGAGACAATGAAGCACTATAAAATTTTAAACGGTGTGGAGAAAAAGAGCAACTTTCCCCCCTTGGAATTATCAGTGACACCCAAGGAAACTGGGCGTTAGTCAAATCTGAAGAGACGCAAGATGCCCGTTCACACAATAAAGGATTTCAGGGAGGAGGCCACTGGAAGGCAGTCCTGTCATCAGCTGTTAGCTCAGATAGATACGTACAGCCTCCCTGTACAGAGGCAGTTTACCCCTAAATATCAGTTTCTGAGAACAAGCAACAGGGGGCTACTCTCTCCTTCATGCCTCCATCCAACTTATTGGGGTAGCCGCAGTTAAGAAACACCACAGAGACAATGAAGCACTATAAAATTTTAAACGGTGTGGAGAAAAAGACCAACTTCCCCCCCTTGGAATTATCAGCGACACCCAAGGAAACTGAGCGTTAGTCAAATCGGAAGGGACGCAAGATGCCCGTTCACACAATAAAGGATTTCAGGGAGGAGGCCACTGGAAGGCAGTCCTGTCATCAGCTGTTAGCTCAGATAGATACGTACAGCCTCCCCGTACAGAGGCAGTTTACCCCTAAACACCACACTGTATTAAACGGGCCTTTTAATCTAACTGAGGGCAGCGATTCTCTCCCCACCACCACCCTGTGAGTGATTCCCTGGTCTTTTGTTCTTCTCTGCCAAATATTCTTGTGGTGTCAGGGGAGGGGCTGTGGCTCACTGGCAGAGCATCTGCTTGGCGCGCAGGTTCAAACCCCGGCATCTCCAGTTAAAGAGATCAGGTAGAGAGGTGCTACGAAAGACCTCCGCCTGAGACCCTGGAGAGCCACTGCCAGTCTGAGTAGACAGTTCTGACTTTGACGGACCAAAGGTCTGATTCAGGATAAGGCAGCTTAGAATCATAGAGTTGGAAGGGGCCAGACAGGCCATCTAGTCCAACCCTCCCTGCTCAATGCAGGATTCGTCGAGCCTTCACGTGTTCGTGTGACACTCTCAGGGTTGTTGTTTTTTTAAAGTCCTCTCTGCTTCTGGGATTCTCAGGTGTGTAACGATGAGAGTTCCTATCAGAGAGTCTCTGACCAAAAAAATCCAGCATTCGCCGTCTAAGTTCTGTCAGCGCCCTATGTGGATTCTCTGGTGGCTGACCAGCGTCCCTCTGTGGCTGAAGCTTTTCCCACACTGGAGACAGCCGTAAGGTTTCTCCCCTGTGTGGATCCTCTGATGCTCGATGAATTTATCGCGCCGGTAAAAGTTCTTGCCGCACTCGGGGCATTCGTAGAGGCTCTCGCCGGTGTGAAGCTTCTGGTGGCGCTTTAGGTTCATGCTGTGGCTGAAGAATTTCCCGCAGTACGAACATTCGTAGGGTCTCTCTCCCGTGTGGATTCTCTTATGGGCCTTGAGCGTCCTTCTGCACGATAAGCTCTTCCCGCATTCAGAGCACTCGTAGCCGTTCTCCACCGGATAGGTGGCCGGATGTCGAAGCAAGGCCTCTCCTTGGTGCACGTTTCTCCACCCGTCAGAGAAACCGGTTCCAGGATGGCTTCTTGGCTTGTTACGAAGGTATGGGTTTTGCTGGAATTCTTCCTCCCACACGGGGCATTCATAGGAGTCCTCTCCGGCATGGATCATGACAAGTCCTGATTTGTAGCGGCATCGTCTCCCGTACTCAGAGGCCAAGGGCAGGTTGGGACCCTCGTGCAGTGTGGTTTTGCTACTGGGGGCCGTACGAATCCCTGTGAACGTGCTGGACTCGTCCCTTCCCTTCACGAGCTTTCTTCCGGCCAGATTTTTGAATTTGTCTCTTTGCTCTTGAATCTCCGGTGTCGTCGCCAACTCGTTGGTTAAGTCCAGCACTGTATCCTCCGGCTCACTTTCTCCACATGGTGAATTCTTTCCCTTAAGCGGAATCCCCTTCCCGCCACCTGTAGAGACAGGGGAAAGAGTTTTGTTGCTGCTCCGGCCACCTCTTTTCAAGACCACCCCCACCTCTTTTATTAAAATCTGTATACCTGCCCTTCCTTTTTGTCCCAAGGGAGCTTACCAAGGCACAATTACACCCACGGTAACCCCTCTTTCCCCCCAAATACCTGCAGCTAAACACTCCACGAAAAGTCTGGACAAATAAAAAAGCATTTCATTCCCGCCCTGACCTGGATAGGCCAGGCAAGCCCGATCTCGTCAGATCTCAGAAGCTAAGCAGGACTGACTCTGGTAAGTACTTGGAAGGGCAACCTCCAAGGAATACCAGAGGTGGGACGCAGAGGCAGGCGTCTGAAAAACGTCCAAGCCCCCAGGAGGGGTCACCAGAAGTTAACCATGGCAAACACACAAAATATATTTCAAAGAACCATTCCATTCCCCACCCACGTCCTCAGGGATCCCTCAGGGAGGGGCCATGGCTCAGTGGTAGGTCATCTGCTTGGCATGCGGAAGGTCCCAGGTTCAATCCCCAGCAACTCCAGTTAAAAGGATCAGGTAGGAGGTGATGTGAAAGAGCTCTGCCTGAGACCCTGGAGAGCTGCTGCCAGTCTGAGTAGACAATACTGACTTTGACGGACCAAAGGCCTGATTCAGTATAAGGCAGTTTCATTCCACAGAGCAGGAGCTGCAGTGGAAAAGGCTCTAGTCAATTCTAGGACTAAAGATGCAGATGTGCAGGGCTATTTTGGGGCAGGAACGCACAGGAATGGAGTTCCGGCTGGCTCCCGAGTTGGCCACGCCCAGCAGGGACTCATTAGCATAACAGGCCACACCCAACAGCAGAAACTCATTAGGATTGGCTACATTAGGGGTGTGTGGCCTAACATGCAAAGGAGTTCCTGCTACAAAAAAAGGCCCTGGGTTTTGACAACAAACAAGGTAAACAGAATAACAAGCAAAAGGTGGGTGTGGCTGGATGATCACGCTTCTGGTAACATGTGGGTGTGGCCTAATGTGCTAATGAGCGGTGCTGTCAGGGTGTGGCCTAATATGCTAATGAGTTTTGCTGTTGGGTGTGGCCTATTATGCTAATGAGTTCCTGCTGGGCTTTTTCTACAAAAAGAGCCCTGCAGATGTGTACAACCAGAGTTAGTTCCCCTTGCTCCCACCCACCCTAACCAGAGCCTGGTTTGGGGTGGGGTAGGGATGACCTGATTCCAAAGAAGAGAGCCAGTTTGGGATAATAGTTAAGAGTGTTGGACTAGGAACTGGGAGACCTTGGTCTGAATCACCATTCTGCCACGGAAGCTCACTGGGTGACCTTGGGCCAGTCACAAACTCTCAGCCTAACCTACCTCACAAGGTTGTGGGATAAAATGGAACAAGAGACCACACTGTTGCATGTTGCGTTGGGTCCCCATTAAAGAGAAAACAAATCAGCCAGTATCATAATGCCCCTGCATCAATCTATGGTGCAGCCTCACTTGGAATGCTGTGTACAGTTCTGGTCACTGCACCTTTAAAAAGATATTACAGCATTGGGAAAGGGCAACTAAAATGATTAAAGGGATTGAAGATTTTCCCTATGAAGAAAGAGGAGGAGGAGGAGGAGGAGGAGGAGATTGGATTTATACCCCGCCCTTCACTTGGAGTCTCAGAGCGGCTTACAAACTCCTTTCCCTTCCCCCTCTCCACGACAGACACCCTGTGAGGTGGGTGGGGCTGAGAGAAACTGCTCTTTTTCAAGGACAGCTGTGCCAGAGCTTGTGACTGACCCAAGGTCACATCAGCAGGTGCAAGTGGAGGAGTGGGGAATCAAACCCGGTTCTCCCAGATTAGAGTCCGTGCTCTTAACCACTACACCAAACTGGTTAAAGAGGTTACGCTCTTTAGCTTGGAGAAATGACAATTGAGGGGTGACATGATCGAGGTTTACAAAATTATGCTTGGTATAGAGAAGTTTTTTTTGGGAAAGAAGTCCTTTTCTCCCTTTCTCACAATACAAGAACTCATGGCCACTCAATGAAATTAAGGAACAGTAGGCTTAGAAGAGATACCAGGAATTACTTCTTCACCCAAAGAGTCATTAACACATGGCATTCCTTGCCACAGAAAGTGGTGGTGGCTACAAGCATGGACGGCTTCAAGAGGGTATTAGATAAGCATATGGAGCAGAGGTCCATGAGTGGCTGTTAGCCACAAGGTACAGAGGGAACACTCTGTCTGGGGCAAGGGATGCTCTGTATTCTTGGTGCTTGGGGGGGTGCATCAGTGGGAGGGCTTCTAGTGTCCTGGCCGCGCTGCTGGACCTCCTGATGGCACCTGGTATTTTTGATGTCAAAATGATTGGCACAGTCATAAGACAATACGAAAACCAAAAAGAACTGTGAAAAAGTGACGCTTAATAAATTTCTTTAAAGAAATCAATTATACAAAAAGTGAACAGTAGTAATATACATAATAATAGAAAAACTACGGTAATCTCCGGAATGTCTTGCCCTTTCGAAGGGAGATCTTCTTCCGAACAGAGATGTGAGACAAATACTGTCTCTCAGTAATTCATTTCCTCTGGTGACATTTCAAGGATACCAATGAAGATTTTTAATGTTCATAATAGCTGTAATATCTAATGGAGCCTACCATGGGCTATTGGTATTGTAATGAAATGAATTACTGAGAGACAGTATTTGTCTCACATCTCTGTTCGGAAGAAGATCTACCTTCGAAACGGCAAGACATTCTGGAGATCACCGTCATTTTTCTGTTACTATGTATATTATTACTGTTCACTTTTTGTATACCTGGTATTTCTGGCCACTGTGTGACACAGAGTGTTGGACTGGATGGGCCATTGGCCTGATCCAACATTGGCTTCACTTACGTTCTTGCGTTCTCAGAAAAGCAGGGCGAGGCTTCTTCGCATGACAGAAGTACCATACCCTCTCCTTACCTGAGCCTCGGCCCGTGCGTCTCTCTCTCTCCTCCGGAAACTGGATGCACATCACATCCTCTTTTTCTGGATGGGAAAGGAGGTCAGGCTTAGGAACCAAAAGCCCCTCTTCAGCATAGAGAGAAAAGAACACAAGGATTATTTCTGGTGCTTTGAGGCACGCAAAACATTTGCAATTCCCCCCGTCCCACTTTCTAATGGCTAAGAAGCATACAGGGCTATTTTTGGGCAGGAACGCACAGGAACGGAGTTCCGGCTGGCTTCGGAGTTGGCCACGCCCAGCAGGAACTCATTAGCATAATAGGCCACACCCAACAGCAGAAACTCATTAGGATTGGCTACATTAGAGGTGTGTGGCCTAACATGCAAAGGAGTTCCTGCTACAAAAAAAGCCCTGGTTTTGACAACAAACAAGGTAAACAGAATAAGGAGCAAAAGGTGGGTGTGGCTGGATGAGCACACTTCTGGTAACACAGGGGTGTGGCCTCATATGCTAATGAGCTGTGCTGTCAGGGGTGTGGCCCAATATGCTAATACGTTTCTGCTGTTGGGTGTGGCCAATTATGCTAATGAGTTCCTGCTGGGGTTTTTCTACAAAAAGAGCCCTGAGCATACATAATGGCTAAGAAGCATTCCTACCCCCCTCTCAGTCTTATCTGCATGCCTGACCAACATATATCCAACTGCAGCAAGGGACAAAGGGTACCACACGCTCAGCGGCTCTGGAAGCAAAAGCAGAGGGATGGAATCTGGAGTAAGGGAAAGAAAGGTGAAGTAAAAGCTGGCACTCAACAGCACATTCTGGTAACCCCCAAATTCCTACACTATGCATGTAAACACACAGGCACACACAGTGTCCTCTTTTGGGGGAGGGGCTGTGGCTCACTGGCAGAGCATCTGCTTGGGGTGCAGAAGGCCCCAGGTTCAATCCCCAGCCATCTCCAGTTAAAGAACCTGTCAATAGGGTGATGAGAAAGATCTCAGCCTGAGATCCTGGAGAGCCACTGCCGGTCTGAGTAGACAGAATTGACCTTGATGGACCTGTGGTCTGATCAGGGCTATTTTTGGGCAGGAGCGCACAGGAACGGAGTTCCGGCTGGCTCCCAAATTGGCCACGTCCAGCAGGAACTCATTAGCATAATAGGCCACACCCAACAACAGGAACTCATTAGGATTGGCTACATTAGAGGTGTGTGGCCTAACATGCAAAGGAGTTCCTGCTCCAAAAAAAGCCCTGGGTTTTGACAACAAACAAGGTAAACAGAATAAGAAGCAAAAGGTGGGTGTGGCTGGATGACCACACTTCTGGTAACACGGGGGTGTGGCCTCAGTTGCTAATGAGCTGTGCTGTCATGGGTGTGGCCTAATATGCTAATGAGTTCCTGCTGCTGGGTATGGCCTGTTATGCTAATGAGTTCCTGCTGGGCTTTTTCTACAAAAAGAGCCCTGGGTCTGATTCAGGAGATGGAAACTTTAGTTGGATCCGCTATTTGGGGAAAGCCCATGGCTCAGTGGTAGAGCCTCTGCTTGGCATGAAGAAGGTCTCAGGTTCAGAAGACCCCAACATTTCCAGTCAAAGAATCTAGGGACATGTGAAAGACCTCTGCCTGAGACCCCGGAGAGCTGCTGCCAGTCTGAGTAGACAATCCTGACTGTGATGGACCAAAGGTCTGATTCAGTATAAGGCAGCTTCATGCGTGTTCAGTTCTAACAGAGTTTAATTCAAGGTATAAGCTTTCATGCAGGCACATGTCTTCACACTTTACACTTCTGAAGAAGCGTGCGTACACACGAAAGCTTCTACCCAGGATTAAACTTTGTTAGTCTTAAAGGTGCCCCACTGGACTCAAACTTTATTCTGCTGCTTCAGACCAACATGGCTACCCCACCTGAATCGGTTCTAACAGAGACAGAGATGTATACCGGATTGTCTGTAGTGAGCAGAAAGACAACCTTACCCAAAGAATCTACATTCTCCCTGTCCTCCTGTAGGACTTGCCAAAACATGGTCCTTGGGCCAAGTTCGGTCGGGCTCTGTTCGATCACACGGACAGCCACACCTGCCTCCTTGACGTTCATCAGTCCCTGGAAAGAGAGTAACATCCCCGGCTGACAGAACCTGTCGCTGGATAAACAATCATAGACTCACAGAATCATAGAGTTGGAAGGGACCTCCAGGGTCATCTAGTCCAACCCCCTGCACAATGCAGGGAATTCACAAATACCTCCTCCCACCCCCCGTGACCCCTGAACTATGCCCAGAAGAGGGCAACCCCCCCCTTCCAGGATCCCTGCCCAAAGTGGCCCCGAGAAAAATTGCTTCCTGACCCCAAAGTGGCAATCAGCATTTCCCTGGGCGTGTAAAAAAGGGCAGATGTAGCGATAGTCACAGGAATTGACAGCTTTAAAAGAGTATTAGATAGATTCATAAAAGATAAGTCTATCAGTGGCTACTAGCCATGGTGGCTGAGGGGAACCTCCGCATTCAGAGGCACTACATCTTCTGTACCCCAGAGCCTGGAGGCACCCTCAGGGGAAGGCCTGTCGTTGGCCAACCAGAGCAACTGGTTGACTGCTGTGTGGGACAGGAGGCTGGACTCGATGGATACTGGGGTCTGACTTAGCAGGGCTCTTCTTATGTTCTTATGTTAGTCTTCAAGGTGCTGCTGGACTCTTGCTCTTTTCTACAGGCCAGACCCCTCATCACGTATCAAGGATCACTCTCCCTGCAGTTGTGAAAGACTCTCCTTCTGTGCCTGCTAAATGTATTTACTCTCCAATAGTGCATCCAATTAGAAACAGAGATGATAGGTTCTCCTTGATGAAGGAGACACGGGGGGTGGGTGGGTG